AGGTTTCCTGGACTCCTGAACTGTTCCTGCCTGCTCTGTCTTACCCTGACCTGGATCGGCTTCCTACAACTTCTCCAGGGCTGCAGCATCAGGGACACTCTGGGCGACGCACGCCGCGTCTGGTTGCCACCCATCGGCTGCAGTGCAGCTCTTTCTATAGAGATGGACTGAACTGTGAAAGCAGGTAAGTGACTCACTGAGATTATCATCTTCTCTCAGATGATCATAGTCACTTACCTGTGTTTCTTTCCCCAGAGTGTGAGTGAATGAATCCACAGCGGTGCACTCCTGTTCTGTCTATGTTTTCATTTTAATAAACGTTTTGAACTTTCCTACAGATTGTCTCACTTTGAATACTGGTCCATCTGTCCCATTTTATGACAATATAATGATTAGAGTGGATGTTTGGACAAAGCCAAAGTTTGTTCCTTAACATTGTGAAGTTCCGGTTGCTGACTCTGGTAAATCCTTTCTGACTTGCAACAGTTTCACATTCTAACAATCTGTTAACACTTCTCTTTCGTTTTTAGGTCAATACAGTTAAAACAAGAAAATGTTTTATTTTTCTTCTATTTATATTACAGTGAATGAGATCTAAGGCTGTGGCTGAATATTTTAAAAACCACAGATTGGTGTAACTTTTAGATGTAGTAGTTTAGTAGTTTTAAGCCCCATAGGTTTTCCTCTTGCATGTGAAAACTAATGTCTTAATGAAATATTACTACTTTTACTTTTTAAGAAGCTTAAGGGAATTTCCAAACAACCAATAACAACATTAGAGGTCCTTATTCAGGCAACATTTATTATTCTTTCTGAGGGAGAACAGATGAGGTATTTGCCAATTTTCTGTCTGTCCGATTATGCAAAAGATTTCACTATCTATGTAACACAAGCGAAGAGCTTAAAGAGATTCACAAACAGTCTAACCAAACAAGTTACGGACAGCGTGGAACAAACGCAAAACAGCCTTTAACCTACAGCAGTCTGGCTCCCTTTTTTTTTTTACATCTTACACTGAAAAACAGTGTCTCAGGCATCAGTAGGATAAGTAAGAAAGTAAATAACTAATTAAGGGTTAATACATATAAAACCCTTTCACAGAGATCGGCGTCACAAGGTGCTTTACAAACATTTAGAACAGAATAAAATAAGGTAAAACAGTATAAAACAACATTGAATGGACATAGTAAAACAGCTGAAACGCTGGATTCTTGAGACCCGCTCTTAAAAGCATCCATAGCCTTGTCTTTCACCTGAGCAAATACTTTTGTGACATTCAACCCCCCCTCAAAAAAACCAAAAATAACAGCTTACGATAACGTCTTAAAATGGAGGAAATGAGGAAAAGATGGATACACTTTTCTTTCCCTGTCATAGACATGCTGTGAGAAATAAGTTCTGCTCAGACGATGTGTTGAGAAAAAGCAGCAAGAACCTCCAAAACAGATCTGGGAAAAGAGAATGAGGTCATTTAATGACCTTCAGTTTATGCTGGATTGCCAATCTGTAATCCAACATAAACAGTTCTCGGTTATCTCAGTCTCCCTTATCCTGTTTTGGTGTTTTCCAATCGTTTTGCTTACATTTTGACATCTAAACAAAGATTTAATTGACTTAAATAATAAATAAAACATTTAATGACATAGTTTGATGCAGACAAACTTGAAAAAGTAAGATTACATTTGGTCTTTATTCCAGGAGATCATTTCTGTTCAGTGTGATGTCATGTTTGAGGCCTACCAACAGTGATATGTCTGAATTTTAATTTCACATGGTTTATCTTCTAAGTTGTCAATAAAATATATTATCTAGTAACATAGAATCACAGCAAAATTTGCATCCTTTATAATCCCGTCGTCTCTTCAGTGCTTTCCTGTTTCTCTCGTTCTCTCATCTTCTTGGTGTTTCTCTCCACTTTTTAATGTATTGCTTCATTCTCATATGCAGCTGAATCTGAAACAAACCACCAGTCAGATTAATGTAATGACAGCTAATCAGATGCTTCAAACAACCGGCTACATCACTGAGTGTGAAGAGCTTTTTCATTACCTCTAATGTCCTTCAGAGCTTTAGACTGTAAGCAGCGGAACAAGAGGAAGGCTGTGATGAGGATCAGGAGGGGCAGGCATCTCAGAGCAAAGATGACATCTTTGTTCAAGAGAACATCAGCAATCTCTCCTCACAAACAAAAGATCAGAAATGCAGAAGTAAGTTTACTAGTCAGGTTATTGTGACAAATAGTCTCACTGCAGGTTGCTGGTCATTTTACCCTTTGGTCAATTTCTTTAAACTCCACTTAATCAGTTACAAAAAAGACCCATCTGTTGTTAGACGTTTCTTGCGGAACATTCTTCACTTCCCACCTTACTGGGGGAATTTTTTATACCCACCGAATGGATTATTTAAAGTTATTTTTCAGTAAATCTTTATGAGCTGTAATAAAACGTGGTTACAAATCATAGATAAATGTATCGCAGCAGAAGGTCGCTTAGTTTTTGTTAAACATTATCAGAGGCGTGCACAGACATTTTGCGGGGCAGGTGCTCAGGGGGGGGGGGGGCACTTTTTAGCGCACGTGGAAAAAAATACACGCATGTTGAATTAAATTTGACTTTTATTTGTAACATTCTCTAAACGTGAGTTTTCAATGGAAAAAAGTCACATCACCAACAGAACAGACTAAAGCATACTTCTTTCATCTGGCTCATCTCCCTGCTCTCCCTCACCCATCTGCTCTCCCTCACCCATCTGCTCTCCCTCACCCATCTGCTCTCCCTCACCCATCTGCTCTCCCTCATCCTGGTCTTTTTCTGTCTCTGTGTCTTCCCTGAACTCTTACTCATCTCCTGTCCTGGTAGATGTTGATGGTATAGAGCTTCCCTGCTGTGACTGGCTACAATATTATAATAATAGTAATAATAATAATAATAATAATAATAGCTTTATCAAATATGCCACATTAGTTTAAATAATGGGCTATTAGGGCAACATGACTGGAAGTCTTGTCACGTGGATATGACTTATGGTAGCCTACAAAATAATAGCTATTTTAATACCTGCTGCACAAACCACTTAAAAATAAAATGTGAACAGCTTTTAAGATTTTCAAATATGATTAACCCTCCTTTCTTGGCATTGTGCTGCAATTACTAAATCAATATAGAATTAAGACAATAAAGAGACCAAAATGTGTTATGTGTTTATGTTGCCTAACTGTTGGGAGCTGGAGAAAATCCCATCTTTCTCCAGCAGAGTCCGCCGTGGATCCTCTGAGGGAGCCTCCTGCACAGCTGCAGCTCATCAAGATCATCAGAGGATCCACTACTTAAGCTGCCTTCAGACCTTACCTCAACGCCGCAGTGTTGTTCCAGTTGGTCAGCGCTAAAGCCTAGATCTCAGTGATTTTCCATGACTCTAATCCCTAGTTGGATTCTAACCTCTGTTTCTGTGCCTCTAGGGAACTCGTGCTTCCTCCGTGAAAGCTCTGGAAGAGCTAACCTGCCGAGCCGACCCTCAGAGCCAAACCCTGAAGATTCTCAGACAACCTCCAAGCAGCTCTGGGCTAGAGCTGGGAAACCAAGGCCAAGGTCTGCTAAAGCTAGACGTGAGACGCTGAAGCAGCTAACGGACTCTGCTACTCAATCCTTCTCCAGAACCAACAGTGACTCTCCCAAAGAGAACCTCAAGAACCCTCAAGGTACTATCTGTGCACCATTGGAAACCCAACCCCGTCAACAGTCCTTAACTGTGCTGTCTCTCACGCAGACTCCGGTGAAACCAGAATCCAGGCCCGAACCAGCCTTCTGCATATTCATTGTGATTGTGCAAATAAACTTGTTAAACTTTTCATCCTGTGTCCGTTAGTGGTGTTCTGCATCTTTGGGTCTCCATTAGAGAACCGATCATGACACTAACAAAACCTATACAACAGAAAACGTTTGTCTTAACACATAGATTTGTACGAAAGAGGCTTAGGGCCACTGAAAAAAAATTCTGACATAAAGTCAGAATTCTGACTTTTTTATTGTCAGAATTCAGTCAGAATTCTGAGAAAAAAGTCAGAATTATGAGATTAAAGTCAGAATTCTGACTTTTTTCCCATACTAAACTGAAATAAAATTTAAAAATCAGTTAACTTATTTTTTTTTCAGTGGCCCTAATCCTCCTCCGTTGATTTGCAATTGCAAACTATACTGAAAGTAAAATAGCATCTTACAAGGAGACAACTAGTTTATCAGGTGACCAGTCGGCAAAAATGCTTGTTTGGTGCTGCTGAATGAGACATTTTAATGCACAACAAAATGATTTTGCTTGATCTGTATATTACCTGGCTAATGGGGCACGGGACAAGCAGCCTGTCAGCGACCGTTCCTGCTATCTTAAGACGCTACTGAACTGCTATGATGCTGCGCATCTGGCATGCCCTGCGGGCGACCGCGCGAGTTCACGTGACAAAGGAAGAGAGAGAGGCTGGTTGGGTGTGCGCAAGGAGGTGACTCATTTCGAGGCATTGTTTCAGTCGTTTTTAATGGCTCAGGTTTTCAATAGATCATTTCAAAACCGACCTCAGTAAAATCTTAATATTATTAATAATAAAAAAAATAAAAAAAACGAGTTTCAAAAGGGCATTTTCTTTGATAAAGTGAAAACTTCCTAGTGCTTTAGCACCACCTAGTGTCTATGTATGCACGCCCCTGCACATTATGACATGTAATGCTTAGTCAGCCCAGCCAATTGGTTTGGATCTTATCAACAGTCAATTATATAGAATAATATTTTAACCTATCATTTTAACATTTGAAAATGAAGATGGCAAAGGTTATGCCAGTCCATAAACGTGGTGACAAGCAAATATTAACAAATTATAGGCCGATATCACTGCTACCACAATTTTCAATAATTCTGGAAAAATTATTTATAAAAAAGCTGGACTCTTTTCTCAATAAAAATCATTTATTTAATAAGCACCAGTACGGCTTCAGGAACAACTGCTCTACAACTTAAGCTGTGATGGAGTTTGTGGAGCACATTGCTGCAGCAGTTGACCAGAGACTTAATAACGTAAGTGTGTTTATTGACTTATGTAAAGCATTTGATACCATTTATCATGCACGACTGTATGGCCTACGGGGGGGTTACATACCAGTGGTTGAAAAGTTATCTAAGTAATAGATTACAATATGTACAAATTGATAACACAAAGTCACAAACAGGCATAGTAAAATTTGGTCTTCCTCAAGGCTCAGTCCTAGGACCTAAATTATTTATACTTTATTTAAATGATATTTTTGCAGTATCCAAAAAACTAAATTTTTGGATACTAAATTTATGGTATTCTCTGGTAATTGGTCCTATAACGATGTAAAGTTATGTATAAATGGAGTTGAAATTGAAAGAGTTTATGAGACAAAACTTTTAGGGATTATTATAGACAACACACTTAGTTGGAAGCCTCACATAGAATATATTAGAAATAAAAACTATTGGAATATTATTTAAAATAAAAGATTTAAAAGATATTAAAGGTTGCATATTATATATTCCTCTTTGGTTATGCCTTATTTGTCTTATTGTTCAGAAGTATGGGGAAATGCAAATAAAACAATTATTGATAAGTTAGTTAAGTCACAAAAAAAAGCTCTAAGGCTTATTAATAAGGTGGGATACTGTGAACCAACTGATAAAGTCTTCATTCAAAGCAACACATTAAAATTCAAAGACATTGTTTATATAAAAATACTGGAAATAATGCATAAAGCAGTGAACAAAAGTCTTCCTTCTGGTATTCAGAAATTATTTAAGTTAAGAGAGAATAAATATAATTTGCGAGGTTTTTTTATATTTGAATGTGCAAAAGAGAAGAGCCAGAAAAAGTCTAGATGAGTTTCAGTTATTGGTGATTGATGATTTAAAGTTATGTCCTTTCTTGGTGAATTTTAAAAGGGCTATAAAATGTAAAATGATAAAATCCTATGTTATGTAGATTTAAATATTTATATACGCAGTAAAGAACCTGGTAGGTTGTAAAGGTTGTAAGTATAAAACAGGGTAAGCTTTGCTTCAGCCTATTCCTTTTTTTTTGGTAAATTGTTGGTTTTGTTTTGTTTTAATATTATTGTTTTGTTGTTTAATGTTGGATTATTTGCTAAAAAATAAAGTGAAAGTGAAGTGAACACAAAAATAAACAGCATACACAAAGAGGGGGTGGGGGGTGGGGGTGCGGCAAACTTCAATTCAGTTTATTTAGAAAGCGCCAATTCACAACACATCATATCACGGAACAAACAGAACCTTAACAAAAACTACTGATGCTAAACAGATAATAAATCTTCAACTACCATCTCTAATATCTTTTTATCTATATATCCAACATTAGATGACACCAGTAGTAAAGCACATGTAGATTTTTTTGTGTAAAATCTTGAGGCATCAAGAGAAGGTTAATCCCAGATGGGATTATCCAAATAGAAAAGTTATCAGTTTCATTGATAAATTTATGTACAAGGGGAGGGGAGGACAACTTTCATACACGACTAGGTTGCACCACTTCCACATGGGGAATTGTTTAACACTCCAGCTAATGTTAAGTATTTTTAGAGGCCTGTGAAAGGATATCTTATTCTTCCTTTTGACACCCAGCATGCATTCAGCGACAGGGGAGTGAAATCTTTTATTCCAAAAGTACAAAATAATTTGGGAAACCTAATAGATCTAAAACAGAGCAAGTTTTGTCCAATTTAATGTCAGACTGTAAGGAAAAGTTTAGTTATCAGGATCCTCTCCTGTGGAACCAACTACATTGGTTGATAGTCCGTGAGGCAGACTTAGACAGATAAATTTTGTCATTTTGTATACACGATTCTATACAAAGGAATTTCATTTTAAACAGGCAGACAACCTTTCTACTTTTAAGGCAAGACTTAAAACTTTCATTTTTGACAAAGCTTACAGTTAGAGTGGCTCAAGTTTTCCCAAGCAATCTCTATAATTATGCTGCTACAGGCTTAAACTGCTGGAGGACGTAGGGACCACTTTTCGTCATTCTGCTAGATTCTATTCTCCCATTCTGCAGTAATCATTAGTTCAACCCCTAACTGTATGTGCTCTTTCATCCTGGGAGCTGGTTCAGAGCTCTTCTACCTAGTTGTGCGTTTCCTGGATTTGCTTTTTGTATCACTGCTTCTTTCTGTATGTCTGCTTCTGTCTCCTTGAACCCCAGTCGGCCTCAGCAGATGGCCGCTCACACTGAGCTTGGTTCTGCTGGAGTTTCCTTCCTGTTAAAAGGTATTTTTCCTCTCTACTGTTGCTTCACAGGTGTGAAGGATTGCTGTCGAGTCAATGATGCAATCAGCTGGTTTTCCTTAGATATTAAACTTTGACTCAATTAGATTGAATGTCTCTGCCTTGACATGAAATGTGCTGTAAATGGGAGCTATACAAATAAAAACTAAAATAAAACTAAATAACTAATAAAACAAAATAAAAATAAAAACTTGTCATTTTTTCCATGTGAAAATTCTTTTGGAAGCATTTGTTTTCACCTTTAGAAAGAAAGATTTGACATGAATTTTATACTCACCGGCGAAACCATGGTGATCTCTGACTTTAACTGTGATGGTTGTGCCATTTCCTTCAACCTCAGTTAGAATGGGTACCTCTACAGAAACCTTGCAGGTGTATCTCCCTGAATCTCTGCTTGTAAAATTAGTTAAGATCAGAAAAGAACAGGCATGCGCCCGCTCATTCTGAGAGATTCCAATGACGGTCCTTTGCTTTATCAGTGTTTGGTTATTCATCCATTTGACACCCACTCGTTGAGCCTTTCCCGTCCAGCAGCAGGAAATTCTTCCATTCTCTCCTTCTTGGACTAAAACATCAGGACTCTGAGTGACAACAAGAGTTTCTGGAGAGACATCATGGAACCATGTTAGATCATACAACACACCCATTGCACGACTTTAGGACAGAATGTAGAAACTGTTGCTGCTTTTGGACTCTTTGGTAGAACATCCATGAACCTAGGCCCTGATAATGTATCAGTTAAATTTTTTCGTCAATATAGAATTAAATTTGTAGGTAAGAGAAAATATTGTGTGGTGGTTTTCCTGCAGCCTGCCTGTTTGATATTTCTGGATAGTTGGATGCTTCCCACTCTCTGCTTCACTCCACCCTGTTAAATACTGTTAATTAACAGGGTGGAGGTCTGTTAGTCACTGTCATTTCTCCCAGCTGTTATCATTCCTATTAATAACTGCCTCTCTGTGTCAATTGTTGCCATTGTGTCACCTTTCCTGCATAACGTTTGTTCCAGTTTCTGTTAACACCTCCCGCCTTTAAAAGTTACTGTGCTCACCCTGTTATCACTGGATGATCAATGACTTCTGACTCTGGTAATGTCTTAGGCTGCCTCTGTCGGTCACCTGTCTGTTCTACCTGCCTCCCGCCTGCTCAAAGCCAATCGTCAGCCTTTTCAGACATTATCCGCTTGCCCCAAGTCTGGCACCAACCAGCCTTTTGGCGATCATCTGCCTCAAGCCTATTCAGACATTGCCTTCCTGCTCAAAGCCTGCAAACAGTCTGTCAGCCAACTTCTGCCTTAACCCTGTTCAGTAATCCACCTTGTTAAAGTCTGCTATCAGCCAGTTCAGCCTTTTACCAGCTTGCTTTTTCCTTCATCTGCTTACTCAACCCTGCTGCCCTCATGTTCAGTCAGTCACCAGTTCAGCATTGCAGAATTTCATTATACGTTTAAGCTGAAGATCCTGTCTGGCTGATTATCAGGTCTCATTTGTTTATAGCATGAAGATCATGTCAATTAGTGGGGTTTTACTGAAATGCTGACACCCTGAGTAACAACTGTATCTTTCTACACATCTCAAAATGAAGATGTCATACATACAACGGAAAGTCATAGCAAATGCACTATAAGCTATTTTAAAGTAAATGATGTCTACATGATTAAAATACTAAAAAGACCAAAGATGGAAGAAAGCTGTAGACCTGCAGCAGGCTGGTAAGAGGGAATCTATAAGAGGCACGTTGCCTGGTGTCGATTAATCAACTTTGGTAGCAACTGAGAGAAATAAAAAAACGTTTGATAATCTCCTTCAATTTAAGCCCACATGAGAACGATTGGCAAAAATACCAGAACTAAGTGGAAGGACTTAATGAATAACAGCTCCCTGCATGTCTTTTTTTTTTTTTTTGGAAGCAATTGGTTTCACCTTTACATTGAAAGATTTCACATGAATGTTTTACTCACCGGCTAAACCATGGTGATGTCTGGCTTTAACTGTGATGGTTGTGCCATTTCCTTCAACTTCCGTTAAAATGGGTAGCCCTACAGACACCTTGCAGATGTACCTCCCTGAATCTCTGCTTGTTAAGTTTGTTAAGATCAGAACGGAACAGACATGCGGCCGCTCATTCTGAGAGACTTCGGGCTCATTAATGACGATCCTTTGCTCTATCAGTGTTTGGTTTTTCATCCATTTGACACCCACCCGTTGAGCCTGTACTGTCCAGCAGCAGGAAATTCTTCCAGTCTGTCCTTCTAGGACTGAAATATCAGGACTCTGAGAAGCAACAAGAGTATTTGAAGAAACACCTGTAGAGAGGCATGATGGAGCAGTGTTAGATCATACAACACACACCTTGCACCATTTCAGAACCAGATGCAGAAACTGATGCTGCTTTTGGACTCTTTGGTAGAACCTTTACTATGGCACTGACGATGTTTGACTTTTCTAATTAGGTTAAAATAGACTAAAAGCTGCAGGTAACGGAAAATATACTACAGTTAGGTTTCATGCATTATTATTATTATTTTGGCTGGTTAGTTGTTTCCCACTCTCTGTTCTACCCTAGTTTACAAATTAAATATTTAGTTTGTTAAATAAATATTTGGATCCAAACTAAATATTTAGTTTGCAAATTAAATATTTAGTGTATTTATTCAATACATTTGCAAATTAAACTCCAAACTTAACTCCAAACTTAGTTTGGAGCAAAATATTTATTTAAAAAAGTAAGATTTTTTATAAATGAATGAATTACATTGCGTAAAAAATGACTTGGAAAAAAATAAACCCCTTATTCTTCTCTGAAAATACACTAAATAGCCAATATTGCTCCTAATTTTGCTTAACAGCTCCACATACATACCTAGTGTGAATTATGGCGGTAAAAAACATTACGCTTTGGAGCTTTTTTTCTCCTAAACAGGATGATCAATCTCTATAACGCCTCCCTCAAGTGATTCAGCCCCCACCCACCCCCCCCAGTAATTAACATTTATGCACTATTTTTGCATGCCACGTATCACTTTACTTGGATTTTCACTTTATTTGGATTTAGTTTTTACATATGCATAGATATACGTACAGATATACGGCCCATGAGAGGAAGAACCTAAAATACCAAGACCTCATCATGGACTGCAAAGACAAAGGCTGGCAAGCATGGCTGTTTCCAGTGGAGGTCGGATGCAGAGGATTCCCAGCACAGTCAATGTGGTCTGTGCTCACTGCACTTGGAATATCTGGCAAGGAGAGGAAGACAGCTGTGCGCAGGATTGGGGAGGCAGCAGAGAGAGCCTCATGCTGGTTGTGGTTTAAGAGGGAGGAGGGGGGCTGGAGGCCTGGAGATGATGGGCAGTGACCTGGCCACCACTGCTGACCCGCCAGCTGGAGGGTGTAGCGGTTAAGGGTCGAAACACCCTGTGAAGGTTGGGCACCGTCTGATGACATCAACTCCAGGCCAAAAACCACCCACAGTCACATTAGGGAGTGACTGTATGTTAGCATCACATGATGTATTCAATAAGTATACAGAAGAGCTATATTTGGATATATTTTATCACTTTTTATTCTTAATTTTTATCTTATTTTTTTTATCTTTATTATATTGTATAGTTGGATGTGTGTATATATTATATAAAACTGTAAGTGGAGCATTTAACAAAAGTAATTTCTCTCTGGGATTATTAAAGTATTTCTGATTCTGACTGACTCATATTGAGGTAAGAATGAACTAGGTCATTTATTGCATGTTTTTAGGCGAATAACATTAAAGATGGAATTAGCTGCGGTCTTCTAACATAACAATGATGCCAAACAAACTACACGGTCAACAAAGCAGTGGCTCTGGAAAAAGCAGCTCAATGTGTTTGGGTGGCCTAAGCAGTTCACCAGACCTCAACCCCATAGAAAAGTTGTGAGGGAGTTGAAAGGCGGCCTGGCACAGTGACAGACCGAAAATATTACTCCTACAGAAGAGATCTGATGAAGGAATTGGCATAAATACCACATATAGAAGGCTTTCCTGTCCTCGAGGTCCAATTACCTAGATATTTTACATCCACACTTAAATAAACTCTCTAAATTACCTCCTTAGTGAGCATTCAAGCCATGGGCGTAGGTTTGCATAGGGACCATAGCGACATGTCCCTACCAACATTTTGGTCAGACCTACTTGTCCCTACCAACAATAAGATGTGAATAACATGTTTATAATTTACAATACAGCTTGGTTGCAGCAGTAGAGGGGATGGAGAATATTGACAGACAAAAAAATGTTTGCTTATATATTTTTTTACAATCGTATTGGTATATTTCCTGCTCTAAGTGGGTCGCTCTGTGAGCTAAAGACATGTTTTAGAGTCTCCATATACCAGTTAACGATTAATCGATTACTAAATTTGTTGACATTTCAATAATTGATTATTCTGATTAATTGTTTCAGCCCAAGATAAAATACATGATATGGGTTAAATAGAGTAACTATACAATACATTTATTTGGTGTCCCTCGAATCTATTATTTTGCTTTATTTCATGATACAGAGAGAATATTTAAAAGATAAGTGTGGGTTTTACTTCTGTACAATTGTATATCTTCAAAAGAAAAAACAGGATAAATCCAGATATAACAGACATATTTAGACTATATTTTGTTAAATAGGCACAGATTTACCTACTGTCTTAATCGCTTGTAATTTCAAATGCAAACCTTTTCAAAGTGGAAAAAAAAGTCATAATTCTTCATTCATCAGAGCCGATGATGCTTCAAATATTGATAAACAGCATCTAGCGTGTGTAGCGCTTATAACATTTATACAAATATAGCAAGAAATGCTGCTTTTCTTTTTAAGCAAAATACACCCTGATTTTCACGTCAAGCATGAAAAACAGTAACCTGACTCCGCCAGATGGATTTGCTCCGCATATCCATCTGGAAACCTTCCGTTGAAGTAATTTTGGGAAGGGGCGAAAATACTGGTTAGCTGATTGGCCTATGTTGGTGATAGACGGGCCAAATAAACCAATCAGATCAACGAAGCATATGACGTACTGACAGACAGGCTACTCTTGCTGAAACCAGTCGGGAGAAGAGCAAAAACATCTTTTCCTCTGAGAAAAGCCTCCAGAGCAGTGTTTTGCTCTTCTTTCAGTGAAGAAATACTCTGTAATTCCGATAAAACTTGCTCGATAGCCACGCTAATCATCGGCTGAAGCCGCCATGTTCTTTAGACTGAACTGTCACGCTTCTCGTTGCGTCACACCTCAACCCGCCTCAAAGCCAACGCTGATTGGACGTTCGTTTGATGAACGGCTCCAAATTTTCTTCAACGGAGAGTCTCCAGACTGATTAGCGAACCTTGAAAGCTCGCAAGATCAGGATGGTCTCACGAGGCTATCAAAACAGAGCATGCATAACTTTTGCATATGGCCAATTACATCAGACAAATAGAGTCCCTACTGAAGTTGAAATCAAACCTACGCCCTTGATTCAAGCTCTCCAGAATCTGATGAATGACCTGATGATTACACTCGTGTTGAAGCAGAGACGTATCTAAAGAGTGCAGGACACCTGACCTCGAAGACAGGAAATGAGAAGTCTAAGGTACTGTGTGTGCAAACCTATTAAAAACTCACAGGAAATGTTGACCTATTTCATTTGCAACAAAGGTTATGCTACAAATTACTGAGTTGCCTTTTTGTTTTTGACCAAATAAACCTTTCCCCCCATAATTTACAAATAAATCCATTGGAAATTTTACAGTGTGATTTTCTGTATTTCTTTTTCTCATTTTGTCTCACAGTTGAAGTGAATCTATGGTCTAAATTATAAACCTCTGTCATATTTCTAAGTAGGAGAACTTACACAATTAGTGACAGACTAAATACTTTTTTGCCAATCTGTGTATTAATTATGTTTATTTTTATTTTTCACAGCAAGCTTCTGATAAAACATTTTATCTATTAGTGTCAGAGAATGTGCAGCAGATGTATGTGTGCTTACCAGCTTCTGCATTGTTAGTTGAGGTCTTTCTGGCTGTAACTGTAATTATTGTCCCATTTCCTTCAATTTCAGTTAAATTTGGGAACTCTACAGAAACCTTGCAGACGTATCTTCCTGAATCTCTGCTTTTGATTTTTGAGAAAGTCAAAACCGAACAGGTATTTGCCTGATCGCTCTGAGAGACTGTAGACTGGTTGACGACATTCTCGTATTTTATTAATGTTTGATCTTTCAGCCATTTGACGCCGAATCCTTGAGCTTTTCCCATCCAGCAGCAGGAGATGTTTTCAGACTCGCCTTCTGGGACAGAAGCATCAGGACTCTGAGTAACAACAAGTACGTCTGAGGGAAACCCTGTAGAGAGAGATGATGGAGCAGTGATACATGATTAATCTTTTCCAAAATAATTTAATTTATAAAAACAATCTTTAAAGTGATTCATGTGTATAAGTCAGGTGAGGGTAAGCAGCTTTCCCTCGCAATATCTACTATTATTGTATATTCACTTGATTTCCGAATAACTCGAGTTAGTTACACCGGGGTGTAACTAATTCGAGTTATTTGAGTTAGTTACCTTGTAGGGGTGTAAATTAGAATGGCTTTGGTGATAAGATATAGCCTGGGTGCCATTCCGAACTTAGTCCCGCCCACAACGTTTGAGGTCGGGAAGTAGTAGCGCGAGTAGTAGTTGCTCAGTAGTAGCGCGAGTATGCTCGCACAATATCTGGCGGGCCAATCAAATTGTCAGGGCGGGCTTTATACAATGATGGACAGATGATCAACAGTAATGTGATCAACCACGTCACCAAAGCGCGCTGGGGTGACAACAACAATGGCTGCCGCTGGAGAGTTGAGGTGAGTAGATTCTGTTATTAGGTCTGTTCTAGAAGATATCAACAGCAAATTAATTTTAAAAGAGGAACAGAGAAACGCGATCAAGGCTCATCTTCTTATTCTAGGCGTGCAACTGCACGCTTTGATTTTTGTTGACAACAACTATGCATCGCTTAACATACGTCTCGCACTCCGTTGCTCTTATTGGTTGTAGGTCTGTCCAATTGAGTGCAGAGGCATTTTTTTTCCTGGTTCGTTCAAAACACGCCCGATAATCACAGCCCTATGGAGCAGTATCAGACTCATATTCTGACTAGAATTGAGTAGGACTACGTCAGGCTAGATAAGATATGAATCACAATTGAACTGTCATGAGACAATGTAATCCGATATATCCTGATACATTAACATCGGCAACAAAACTTGATATTTATAATGATATAGCTCTGTAAAACCTCACAATATCTTGCCGTTAACTGTGGCTGGTGCAGGAGATAGATAATAGGTTCTTGGGTGGTGTGCTGCCAACTAGTGGCTGGAGGTTAATGAGTTTTACAGAAGTAAGACAATAACATGGATGTTTTAATATAGATATTTTCACATTTAAGATCCATTCAGAATCATTGAAATCCATGCCAATATTGTCTAAAGAAATCTTGCAAAATTTGACAGAATATTTTTTTTTTGTCCTGCTTTGCTAATATAGCCCAAGGAATCAAAGTCGCAGCAATAACCCAACAGATTTACCTTCACAAGCAGACCGTTATGATTGTTGCCATAAGGTCTTGCTTGATACTTGTTTAAGAACCTTTATTGAAATAGATTTAGGGAGTAAAATTGTATATGACGGACATGGAGACGGAAAGAGAGTGAGAAAGAAAGAGGGGATAAGAACTAATGGGAGAAAAAAAATTGAAAGAGACAGGAAAGAGTGCATTAAAAGAGAAAATAATACAACACAGCAAAAAATGGACAACACTGAAGATATATTGTAACTCCTAGAAGTCTGCTTCTATACCTGTACTGTATAAGACGAGAGGTATAGAACACAGAGAGCATAAAAACAGCAAAAAGAAGACAACAGACAACCAAAGAAATGAAAAGTAATTTCCCTCTGGGATTATTAAAGTATGTCTGATTCTGATTCTGATAAAAATGCTTCCAGAGCAGTGGGTATTTCTAAGATATCTATATGTGTAGAAGGCAAAACCTGTTGTGATTAAACAATATTATCAAGGGTTGTATATATCTGCAGCTGCAACTTAATATTTTATATTAATGTGTATCTTTGAATACCTGGAACCAAACTTCCATGGTATGTATGCATGTCCATGCTTGTGAATTAAGGATTTACAAAGCTTCTTCAGAGGGAAACTATGCTCAATAGCAGGTGTGGGCGGCCCCAGACTCGCTCTACAGGGTCCATGACCAATAAAGAGGCAACACAAGTCCCAGATATTCCACCTCAGATGACTGGGACACAATGAGGGCAAACATAGGGATGGCCGCACCCATCAGAGAAGGGAGGACGAGAGCACCCGGGGCCCGACCCTAGAGGAGGCAAACCCCAAAGGAGCCCAGTCCCTGAGGGGCCATGGTGCTGAGATCCCAAGGGGCCATGGCAGCAAGCCAATGGGCTCAGTCGGGGACCGGTCACACCTAAGGTGGACCCGGATGATAGCACAAGGTCCAAAGGTCCGAGGCCCTTTGGCGCACCACCCTCTAGTGGGGAACCCAAAGGGCCAGGAGGGTCAGTGCTGGCCCTGCAGCCACCAGAAAAGAGATGGTGCAAACTGGAGTACTCAACCCTGCACCTAGAGAACCATCAGCGTGCCAAGATAACCAGGCACCTCTCATCTGCTCGGAGAATAAGAAATGGAAGGAGACACTCCCCGCTCATACTTGGGGCTCAGGATGTTCCAGTAGGTGGGAGGGTAGGCAAACACTCATGCCTCCACCCAACACATGGGGAGGTATAACACACCCCTGCATTCCCCTCCCTTACTGACAGTGTGTCCCCTCTAGGGGAGCCCCTGCAGGATGATGTATACATTATGTTTACCGTCAATTTAATGGCCCCAGTGCCTGCAGGGGTGCAGATGGACCCTAAACGTGGCCAGACTCTACAACAGCCACCAGTCCACAAAGCAGGTGACACATCCAGGGTCAAGACCAACCAATAATTATTTTTTCATTTACTTCGAGTGGGTAGAGTAGCAGAAAAGGTTATTTCAGTAAAGTTGAAACACTTTACAAATATTACAAATAGTAGACGTAAAAGTACATAGTACAATAAAAGTACTCCTAAAAGTACAATTTACAGTTTTACTTAAATGCCAAAGACTGTTTTTACAGATGTTTCTTTAGGTGCCTTTGTCACTTAATCTGCACAGGACAGAATTAAATACATGATGCATTATGTAGAAAGCTATTTTCAATTGTTTAAATGTAATTTGCTGTGTTAAACACAATATACATCTGACAACACTGTAAAACACAGTTTAATCATGAACCCAACACAGTTAGCCTGCAGTATGTTAACAGCACATGTACTCACCTTTTTCTGTACTGGTAGTTGCGGTCTCTCTGGCTGTTACGGTGATAGTTGTACCATTTCCCTTAATTTCAGTTAAAACAGGAACCTCTACAGAAACCCTGCAGACGTATCTTCCTGAATCTCTGCTTGTGATTTTAGCTAAAGTCAGGACTGAACAGGTTTGAGCCGACTCATTCTGAGAGACTCTAAACTGAGTTATGACGGTCTCATCTTTTATTAAGGTTTGGTTTTTCAGCCATTTGACGCCGACTCTTTGAGCCGTCCCAGACCAGCAGCAGGAGATTCTTCCAGTCTCTCCTTCTACGACAGAAACGTCAGGGCTCTGAGTTACACCAAGTATTTCTGAGGACAAGCCTGTAGAGAGACATGAAGGAACAGTGTGCGGTCATTTAGTAAAAACACAGAAATCGATGCTGGTTTTAGACTCTTTAGAAGCACCGACTGTTTTTAACTTCATTTGCAGAATATATACAGAATACAAGATCAAAATTTGCATTAATTTCTGGGGTTTACTGACACCGGAAGTAAAAAGTGCACTTTTAGAAACATCTGAAGAAAGAGAGACAACATATACGATGAAATCACATGCATAATGCATCATGTAGAAATATTAAGATGAAGGAAAATGACCTTTAATACATAGCTAAAATGTGTCAAACCAAACAACAAATATATATTATATATCAATAACTGTCTATATGCAGTTAGGCTGCAAAATGTGCATCAGGTGAGACTTTTATTACCTGCTATGGTGTCTTTATCTGGCGTCTCTCTGGCTGTAACTGTGATGGTTGTACCATTTCCTTCACCTTTAGCTAAAACTGGTATCTCCACAGAAACCTTGCAGATGTATCGCCCCGAATCTCTGTATGTGATCCTTGCAAAGATCAGAACTGAACAGGTATTTCCCTGCTCATTCTGAGAGCTGATAGACTGATTAATGAATTTCTGATTTTTGATCAAAGTTTGGCTTTTCAGCCATTTGACGTCAACTCTTTCAGGAGTGCCTTTCCAGCAGCAGGAGATGCTTCCGGTTTCACCTTCTTGGACAGAAACATCAGGAGTCTGAGTAACAACAAGTGAGTCTGAAGAAAGACCTGGAAAGAGACATGAGGTTTTTAATAACAATTAGATCATTTTTATTCACTTGGAACATCATACTTTGTCTCAAGGTTCCTGATTTTTGCTTATTAGATAACATTCACAGTTAAAGATCAAATATTAAAAAAAATATGAGGAATGTTTCTAAGACTTAGAGAAACAAATAATCAAACAAATATACTGAAATGTATTTATTACCGGTAAAGTCATTGGAAGACAATACAGTCATAAAAAGCATGTCTAGTAGGCGAAACGGACAAAGAAATAATTTAATTTAAAAAATGCTATTATATTTTTTGTTTGCTGTTATTGAACTTTATCTTATCACTAGGCATACGAATCTAAATATGCCTTTTTTAATGTTTTCATGTGGTACCTTTTGCATGAATAATTAGTCCAGTATCTTTGTTGTACCTTTTGCTGCACACATCAACAAAGTGTGACATCATTTATATACAATACCACTAAAGTGTGACATAAATTATGACAAAATGTAAGATTTCTGATAGATCTTATCTTTAGGATGGTTATTTTCTTCAAAGAAAGAGTGGAACAACTTTTTTCAGTTTCACCTGAAATTATTTTTGTTTTCTATAAGTTTATCAATTATACACTGCAAAAACGATATATAAATAAGTAAAAGATTCTTAAATTAAGTGTATTTACCCTTAATTTAAGTAGGTAAATAAGATGATTTGCCAATGGAATTAATGTTTTTACTCTTAAAATAAGATAATTAGATAATATGCACTTGAAATAATTTAAATAATAATTGTTTTTTTATATTAAATGCAAATTGTCTTGTTCCATTGGCAAAGAGTCTCACTTACCTCCTCAGTTCAAGACAAGATGCACTTAAGAAAAAATTACTAATGTAGATTTCAATTTAAAAAATTTAAAAATCAATATTAGTTTGTTTAAAAACTGCAAATCTGCATCCCTCTATAGAGTTACTTATTGTATGATATATTCTAATATATTAGTCGTAACTTACTCTGAGAAAACCAGGCATAGAGCAGCAGTAGATTGCTGAGTAGAAACGTCCTCATGCTTTAGTTTTCAGCTGAATAGTGATTCTGGTCTGTTTGCCGTTTATGACTATAGATAAAAAAAGAAGACTGTTAAACCACTGAGCGTTTCGTTCTCTAGTTGAAAGGACACATATACTTTCAGTTCATTTCTCTCTCCAGTAAACAGCCACAGTGACAAGGTGCTTAAGGTTACTCTTTTTGGGCTGATTTTTAATTGTTATTAAGTTTATAATTACCATTAAAGGACAGATGAAGCAAATGTTTGGTAGAGTTGTTGGAAGACAATTAGGGCGGAAAAATATGGGGAAGCCTAAAAAGTAAGAATACCTGATACTGTCATTGTGCAAACTAATTAAAGCTGCACCAAGTTATTTTTTCTATTTTAATGCATCATTCTTTAGGTCACTGTGATGGCATCCTATGAGTTTAAGAGACGATTGAGAAGTTTGTAATTTCCTCCAACTGGCTTTACCCGGAAAAATATGCTTGCAAGTGTTTTTACCACTGAACCAGTGCCAGTCTTGTGGTTCTGTTCTTGTAGTGAGACAAACAGCTTTTCAACACAAAGCTTTCAATTCAATTAAATTCATTATATTTCAGTAGTGCCAATTCACAACACACGTCATCTCAATGCACTTTACAGTTCACCAGATCATCCAGTCAAATTGATTCAAAGTTTTCTATCTAAGGAAAACCAGTTGATTGCATCGACTCATTGACTCGAATACAATCCCTCACACTAAGCATGCTTGTAGCGACAGTGGAGAGGAAAAACTCCCTTTTAACAGGAAGAAACCTCCAGCAGAACCAAGCTCAGTGTGAGCGGCCATCTGCTGAGGCCAACTGGGGTTCAAGGAGACAGAAGCAGAGATAGAAAAAGCAGCTGTAAAAGGCGGCCCCGTCCAGGAAACACGCAGCCAGGCAGACGAGCACCGAGCCATCTCCCATGTCAGAGGATGAAGAGAGCACATCCAGCCAGTCACGGTCAGAGAAACAGGACAAAAAACGGGCAGATCTATAAACAAAGGTGTTGATGGCAGCAGCACAGCTGATATTTCTCTCCAGGATGGAGTCACAGCCAAACAGGAACAGACCAGATGAAGCTACTATGAGAAAAAGCAGAGAGAGCAGAACATCAGAGGTTGAACTAACATATTCTGCATAGTGGGAGAATAGAGATAGAATAAAGGATAATTATGAAGAAAGGGTCCCTATCCTCCAGCAGTCTAAGGGACTGGTTATACTTCCTGCAGCAGTGTGTCGCAGTGAGCTCAAGCAGACAGGAACTAGCTGTGGGTCTAGATACGAACCGAGGTGGTGAGGAAGTTGGGCCGAGTTTGTCCGACAACGGAGAGACATGACGGCAAAAAAGAGCGGGGATCCAGGTGGAAAAAGGGTCCCAGCATTCTCCCGCAGCTTGCTCTTCTAACTGCTCAAACTTTAGGATTTGTTTTCCACAATTGCGGTCATATAAACAAAACAAGCCGGCCTCCTGTCTGCGGTCACCTACAATTTGTCTTTTGTTCACTGCGACACCCATGCAGACGACCTAGTTTCGAAGTATAAATCAGCCTTAAGCCTATAGTAGCATAAGTATAGGGATAGCACAGGATAAGCCACTCTAACTATAAGCTTTATCAAAAAGGAAATTTTTAAGCCTAGCCTTAAAAGTAGACAGGGTGTCTGCTTCACAGACTAAAACTGGTAGTTGGTTCCACAGGAGAGGAGCCTGATGTCTTAGATATTATTAGAAATTCTAGGAACCACTAATAAACCTGCAGATTGAGAGCAAAGTGTTCTGTTAGGAACATAACTTTTAATAGCATCATGCTTTGCTGCCCACAGGTGATTATACAAAGAGTTAATATTTTGGAGATTTATGAACTGGCGGAGCCGCCGAAAGAGAAAAAATGAAAAGAAAACATTTTTTAGAAGAAGAATGGAAGAGAAAACAAGAATGGATCAGGACAGGTGTTGTAAAAACAGGAAATTTGGAAAGTTCACTTGCTATACAGAAAGACCTGAAACAAAAACAGGGACGCAAAATGATGCACACTTGTTTTTGAACTTGAGAGGACTGTACTGTTTTGTAATCAAGCTTGTGGGATGAGGAATCAGCTTACCCCAGGGTGGTAAATATGGATGCATGAATCAGTTTAAACTCTGGACATCTAGAGGAGTGACTCTGTCAGCTTCTGTCCTTTAATTTTGCTTTCGCAAAAGGATTTGTGTCAATTTTTATTAGTGGGACATTTTGCACACAACTTGAGTTAAGGATTTAGGCTTACTGTAACTGGATGTCTTTTAATCATCTGGTGGGGTGGTTCATTTTTGCACACGGTTAATAAAGTCGTGAGCACAAAGAGAGCTCAGCAAGCATCTGATGTCGACCAAGAAAGGAGGAGCAGGACGAAAGCAGAACGGGCCGAGCGCCTGTGCAGAGATGAAGCTAACAGCGTGCAGAAAACGAGAGCATCAGGATCAGTGTCTGTTCTTTCAGTGCTGACTCTGCTTCAAACAGGTCAGCAAGTGGTTATTAGATTTAAACACTGCACCAGAGGTAAAAGGGTACTAAAAAATTGTAATTCAGTAAAAGTATCTTTACTTTGCCTAAATTCTACTCAGAGTAAAAGTAAAATTACCCATCTCAAAATTTACTCAAGTAAAAGTACAAAATTACTTTATTTAAAATGTAATTTGAGTAAAAGTTACTTAGTTACTTTGAGTTATTTAATGCAAAAAAGGATGAGTCATGAATAAAATTGAATCAAATTGAGCACAAGGCTAAAGAACATACTTCCTCACAGCACAAGGAGAGTCACAACCTGAACCATAAAGTGCAAACAATGTTCAATCCTACTGTCCAACAGACAACACCATGATAACTGACTTACCGCCACATTTTTTCGTAAATTGGATGTTGATGTTTTAAAAGCCGAAAGCTCCGTTTTGCTGGGCAGGCACATGTTGCGCTGCATTATCGCATTCTTTCCTTTTGTGCATTTGAAAACAAATAATTCTTCCAAATATGGCCGAGGGTTTTTCTGGCTTTCGTCTCCAGAATATGTTTCCTCTTCAGGCCTTTCCTCATCCATACTCCCTAAATTATGATTACAACTGCCATCTTCTGAAGCGCAGCACTGGATTATGAGACAATACAAAGGGTAATTGTAAGGCAGGGCGGCATTTAATTTTTTCACCATCAATATTTGTTTATTTTTTTTTACTCAGTAACGTGAGGGGGTTTTAAATGTAGCAAAGTAAAATTACTTAGGTTAAAATTTACTCGAGTAAAAGTAAAAATGACATATTTCAAACACTACTCAGAAAATTACAAATTACTCATAAAAAGTACTCAATTACAGTAACATGAGTAAATGTAATTCATTACTTTCCACCCCTGCACTGCACATAGCTCCTATAGTGGTCAGTATTACAGCCATTCTGCAGAAGCATCTGACTTAAAGGAATAGTACACCCAAAACATGATTAGCCTTCATTTTCTACTCACCCCCATGCTGAACAACACTCTGGAGTACTTTTTTGATATCTCAAATGCATCTGGAGATCTGGGAGGCTTCTTGCTGTCTGCTGACATTCAGATAATGGAGGTCTATGGTGCCCGAGACAGAAAGGTCCATAAAAGTCCACAAAAAACGTGTCAATATTCCTCCATACTGCTCGTCCAATGTATTCCAAGTGTCCTGAGTGGGTAGCGTCCATAATTTACTTGAAACGAAGTCATTTAGAATGTTTTTAGAGCATAAACAGTAGTGTATAGCATTTCCTGAAAGCGCGCGCCTGCGAGTTTACGAGTCTACGGAAACCGCGGCAGACCAAACCAGATGAAAGTGCGCATTCAGCGTCTGCTCTGCCGATAATGCAAGCGTAGAAGAAGAAATGTGCTGTTTACTAGTGATGGGCAGATGAGGCCCCATTGGGTGTATGGCACATTTCCCAAACTGTGTCGACACTATGTTGAAACTGTTTTGCTGTATCACTGAATGGCGACATCTGCTGGATTTAAAAAGTAATTGCAGGCAACTTCAATAAAGACTGGAAACAGACTGAACAAGGTTCTTTCACACATTTTTATTTAGAAACATCAGCTGCGTTAACATCTTTGGGCCAAGGCGATTGCGCCGCTTACAAACCATTTCTCCTGCTTTTGAGAACACCCTTTCACAGGGCACTGATGATGACGGCGTACATAAAAATGTCATTGCAAGTTTGTACAACGTAGGATAATTTAGTCTTTGCGATTTCCAGTATTGTAGTGGATCCTGTGATCTTGGTGTGTTCTCTTCGGATATGTATCTTTGTACCTCGATAATGGCATCGGTGGTGACATTTGAATTGGCCTTGCTCTCCTTGACTTCTATGTCCAGCTGGTGCCACAGGTTGTCATCTGAGGAAATAATAAAATGCATCTGTGTTACTAATTCATAGTATTCACATGGAATGATTTGCATGAACATTAAAATACAAATGAACAAAATTAAGAATCATACATACCTGGATTGGAATCAGATGGTTGAGTTGAAGGTCCAGCTTGGGCATCTTCCATTTGTGTTGGTATAGCGTTTCTCATTACTGCTGCACACTCTGATTTTAGTCTTTTCACTGCATCATTGGCTTTTGACGCACTTAAGAATGCCATGGTCTTGAACCGAGGGTCCAGCAGTGTTGGCATTGTCATTACACTCAATGACTCCAGGTTGCACAGAGTTTCTAGCAGTCTTCTTTTTAGGTTTTCCACAAGATTAATTGCGGTTTCCGTGGTTACATTTAATGCATTGCGTTGCAGTGAGAGGTGCAACATTTTGAGCATTGGGATTACCTTTGATCCAGACACTCTTTTTTCCTCAGACAGCTCCACTGTCGCTTGATTAAATGGAGCAAGCACACGGAGTGTCTCCTCTATGATTTTATAATCATTTGTAGTGAGCTGAGGTATATCACTTTTTAAAGGAGCTAGTGATACCAACACCGACTCCTTCTGTTCCGCCATGCGTTCCAGCATTAAATATG